GCGATCACGATGCCGGTCGGACCCGTGCAAGCGATGCCTCCGGCGCAGCCCGCGCCGCCCGCCGAGAGCAAACCGGTACGCGGGGCGCAGGCCGCAGCCGCGGGGCCGCAGGCGGCGCGTGGGCCCAGGCCTCTCCGCTGCCTTTCGCGAGTATTTTAGCGCCCTACTTCTTGCTCCCGCGTGGCTGCATTTCTCCCCGGCGGTTGCCCACACACCCGCGGCAAGCTGGGCGTGCTTGGTCCCCGTGCGGGTGCTGCCCTCCGGTGCTCCCGGTTCTTGTGTCGCACACTCGCCTCATCAGGAGTCTCTCTTGGCCTTTCGTAAACGTGGTATATGGCTCCAGAGTAGCTTTAGTGCTCTCCTGCTCTCGCGTTCCTGTGCTTTCCCCTCTCTGCTGTTAACCCTTGTGCTCCTATCCAGTAAACCAGTGTAAGCAGCTGATCTAACTGCTTCTGGAAAGGCTATTTTGCAATTTAATTTGAAAGAATATGTTGAACGGGCCTGTTGCGTGGCCAGTAATACTGTAGAGGCACGTTGGCTACTGTGCAGCTGCGCCTGGGATGCGTCTGCCTAGATGCTGTGCTGTAGCAAGCACCATCAGGAGGAGCATAAACCCTTAGATCCCAGTAAATACCCGGTTGCTTTCGTAAATGTGAATTAACAAGGCAGCTCAGCATGGTGTCCAAGTAAGTGTCCCTCAAGGGCAGTGTTGTTTTCTCTTTCACCTTCTCGGACATTTTCAGGGAATGGGAATGAAAAATAGAAAAACATATGGTGCCCTTTTCCTTATAAAATATCCTCATTAACATTATATCCTACCCAAGGCTGCCGTCTGGCTTGGAGTCTCCACAAAGCCATCAAAACTCGCAGCAGTGTTTCAGAGTTCCCCTTGCTGCCCCTTTGAAGACGAGAAGCTCTTTTGTAAGATGATTGGGGGGTTCTGCAGAGCACAGAGTAGGTGCTTCTGCCAAGCACTTGGATTGCTGGTTGGAGGGCATCGTTCTGATGCAGCGTTGGATAAGCATGGTATAGTGAAGGGTTTTGTACGGGTGTGCTGGGTTCATTATTTTCAGTGCAGATGAAGAAACTGAGAGAAGGGAAGGGAATCTTTCAAGCTAACTGAGTCAGTTTGCAGCCTACCAGAACATGCTTTCAGACCCCGATGCTGATAGATTGTTACTGAAATATTACTTGCGTTCTTTTTCTTAACCCTCTTGATTTAGATTATTACAGCTTAGTATCTTGACCTACTAACGTATGTATATATGTGTCTGTCGCTAATGCAGCCAGAAGAGGAGCCAAAAGAGGAAGCCTCCCCAGCCAAGCCTGTGGTGGGAATTATCTACCCTCCTCCAGAGGTCAGGAATATTGTTGACAAGACCGCCAGCTTCGTAGCCAGGTAACAGACGCTCGTGTGTCTTACGTTTCTGGCATTTGCCACTGACTCTCCTTCAATGGTTTTTGCTCTGTAATTGTGAAGTTTTAACTGTCTCGAGAAACACTGTCCATGAATTCTGTATAATGAATTGGGACAAATGCGTTTAACTTGCATAACTGGCTGCTCTGTTGGATGTGGATTGCTTGCGAGCAGTAACGTCCTTTCCCATAGAGAAAATTGGCTTCTAAGAAGATGATTTTCCAACAAGTCTACCCATGAAAGAAGTGGACACCCTTGAGGTGGCACCTGTTCATCTAAACATTTTTTTTTCTGCCCTTCCAGAAACGGTCCCGAATTTGAAGCTCGAATTCGTCAGAATGAGATAAATAACCCCAAGTTTAACTTCTTGAATCCCAATGATCCTTACCATGCCTACTACCGGCACAAAGTCAGCGAGTTCAAAGAGGGAAAAGCCCAGGAACCCTCGGCTGCCATTCCCAAGGTCATGCAGCAGCAGCAGACTGCTCAGCAGCAGCTTCCCCAGAAGGTGAGCTCTTCCTTGCCACTTCTGTTGAGAACTTGGCTGCTAATGGCTTTTTCTCACATGGCCACCTTTCTCTGGTATCTGCATAGAGGATCTGAAAGACATGCAAATGGAGGGCTTATTTCACTTATACATTTGCAGTAAAGACTGCACTGATATGCTTAGAATTCTTTGTGCAGATACTCATCCTCTGGTTCCTTAAAATTGTGTGTAAAAGAAAGTAATGTATTAACTGGTATCCTTTAATTAAATTTAGGTATGTGGTGACTTATATTTGCCACTAGTGTTCACTTGAGTTATAACAGTTTAGGACCTCTGTCATAGGCAAATCTTTTATAAGCCCTAGAACTCCCTGCTGCATGCACTGTGTCATGGAGATATTTACTGATTTTTTTTTCTTTTTTTTGTTTGCTTTTGTTTTCCTGACAGAAAAATTGGCTGCTTCTCTCAAAATGTGTCATACAAAATGTTGCTCAATAATTGTGTGTAGTTCTGTACTTAAGAATTCCGTGCATCTTTGCCAAGTACGTGTTGGATGGAAAAAGGGCACTGACTGGATCTCTCCTTTGCATGATTGGTGTGGCCAACAGTTATGCTGACCATGGATTGACTCCCTGGAGTCTTGATAACTTCCACTTTCATTAGAGCTTAGTGACATTTGTTTTATAGTAGGCCCAAGTGCTTGGGCTTGGATATATCCTGCATTAGTAATTTTTCCCTCCTTGCAGTTCCCCAAACATCTGGAGTGTCGCAACTTCCCTCAGCTGCAGGGCGAATGAACTCTCCCAATGTTTGCTTGGTAGCAGCTTTTTGAGTGCACTGAGTTGTTTCTCTTCTGTTCTCCAGGTGCAGGCCCAGGTGATCCAGGAGACTGTTGTCCCAAAGGAGCCACCCCCGGAGTTTGAGTTCATTGCAGATCCTCCTTCGATCTCAGCCTTTGATTTGGATGTGGTGAAGCTAACGGCACAGTTTGTGGCTCGCAACGGCCGGCAGTTCCTAACTCAGCTGATGCAGAAGGAGCAAAGGAACTACCAGTTTGACTTCCTTCGCCCACAGCACAGTCTGTTTAACTACTTCACTAAACTGGTTGAACAGTACACCAAGGTAGGTTAGCTGTGACTGTTCCTTCAGCAGCAGTAATGTGTTTGGAAGCTCCTGGAGCTCTAGGAAACAGCCAGATTGGAAATAAAGGCAGTTCACGAAGTCTTTACATCTGTGGCTGATTAGAGTGGATGCGTTGAAGTTAGTTGGCAACAAGGGTGCAGTGTTTTAATGCAGTGGATGGTTGTTTGGGTATTTCAGATACTGTTGTGATGCAGGTAGAAGTTGCTTTTTTAAAGTATGGGGAAAGGATAGCAGATCCAATAGTGGATATTTTAAGTGCAAATATAGGCGGTAACTAGTAACTCGTATTAGGAGAGCTGAAACATAGCCTCAGGGCTCTTGTATGTTTAGGAATGTTGAAAGAGTGAAATTGGTACTGAGAAGGCTTTGGCGAAAGAAAGTGTCACCAACTGTCATGTAAACTGTTTCAGATCTTAATCCCACCTAAAGGCTTGCTCATGAAACTCAAGAAGGAGGCCGAAAATCCCAAAGAAGTCCTAGATCAGGTAAAATATGAATGATTTCCAAAGTTGCTGAAGCATTTGGGTGGTTTTGAATTCTTCCTTTTTGGTGCTTCTAATTGATTAAGAGAAAATAAAGTGGCCATAGCATATTGACAAGAGTCACTTGAATATCGGGGTCCTTAAGCTTGCTTTTTAAACTAATAGCTAGTATTGGGAGGAGTTTATGTGTGAGAGCACAGAGGTGTACATACTTCTTGTACATAAGGTATATTTCAATAGCTTTCAAAGTACATGGGAACTTTGAGCCCTTGATTGTGCACTACACCATTTTCAAGAGCTTAAAGTAAAAGTGATACCCAAACCACATCGTATGTGGAAAGTATAGTCTTAATCCGAGCACCTTGCAGTTGCAGCTTCAGAAAGCTGCTTTACAAAGCTGGAGTATTTTGATCAATGAAATGTTCAAAAAATGAAGGCAAACCTTCATTTTTAAGTTAAATATAACATGCTCTGTCAAGCTTCCCAAGTAATGCTTGTAAAATTGCTTCCTAAAAGAATTTGTAACACTTTTAGGTGTTGTAGAGATGGTTATGATGTGTTTTCCAGTTTAGGATGTGGTATTTTGTATCCCCTTGCACAGGTGTACTACAGAGTGGAGTGGGCAAAATTCCAGGAACGAGAGAGAAAGAAAGAGGAGGAGGAGAAAGAAAAGGAGCGCGTTGCTTATGCCCAGATTGACTGGCATGACTTTGTGGTGGTGGAAACAGTTGACTTCCAGCCCAATGAGCAAGGTTCTGCAGCTAAACATTGTACTCTCTGTGAAACTTTGCTGCTTATGACTGGGGTTTTTGCTTTTCTTCCTGCGAGATCCCCAAATGCTGTTTAAAATGGACATCAGTTTTTACAGCTGCATAGCTTTCAAAGATCAAAAAAAGAGCCTTTTAATGATTGTGTGCAGGATGCTCTTTGTTCACGAGTCGGGGATGTTGTCTTTGCATGAGATTCAGGGGCGCATTGGTGTCTGCTGTCCAGATGCAAGTGGGGAAGTGGCAC